TGTTGCAGTATCTACATCTGTAGGCACTTATAAAGGACCCAGTCAACTACTTTAAACCTTTACCTAACTGCTCAATACCTTACCTGTCTGTATTAAGCTTCCAAACTAATACAATAATCCCACAAAAATGTACTGTTGGTTCTGCTCTTCCTCCATTGAAATAGCACAAGGTCAAAGAAAAGGCGTGACTATGAATATACTTAACACAAACGCGGATGATGCATAATGGTGAGTGTAGTAGTAATGCGCTCACGTGACCAGTCTCCAATCCCTCTAACAGTCGTATATCTATGCCTCCCCACAGGTAGAGGGACTCTCCTATTACAGGAGCTTTGTGACTAGCTCTCATTTTGAAACCTGTAGTAATGAATAATGATAGAAAATGAAGACAATGACTATAAAAGAATAAATAGAAAGAGAGAGAGCATGAAGACAGAGAAGGAGGGAAAATGGTATCATGGTAGGGAGACTGACTTTTTCCAGACATCCTTTTCTAAACTAGACTACAGTAAAATAAACAATGAGCCACGCCTATTATTAAAAATAAATGCCTATAAAAAAACCTGGGCAGTTCTCCCAGTGGGAAAGACAAGGGACAAGCAAAACCTCCTTTCTCTTTACTGGCAAAGACGCGGGGACCCTGGGCCTGGACAGCATCTACTGGCTAGGACTCAACGGACTAGAAGAACTAATATCTATTGATCCCTCCTTCAATAAATACACTGATACTCTATTCTCTGAAGCCTCCAGGGACTTTGAAAGGAGCATCCTAACGCAAGAGGCAGTGAAGAAAGTAGAGGAGAGCATATCCAGATTCCTCCGTTTATTATCTCCGTATTTCATAATTTTCATGCTATGCCCCGCTCACAAGTGCCTGGAGTTCACAAATGCAACATTGATGGAGTGTGTCCTACCGTATTACAAGACAAACCTATTTGCACACGTCGTTCAAATACTACGACTGGACGACCACGCCTCCTTCTGGTCCTGGCTGTCTCCTATCTCTCGACTTTCATTAGTACAACATTGTCTCTCTAAGGGTCCGTTCCTCAGTTTTATATGTAACATGGTAGCCTCTTCTGTTTCTGAAGAGGAAGGATCCTCTTCTAATAATCCTCGTCATGTTCTGATATCATTTTATGCGAGCACTGTGTGTGAGGTGGTATTGGAGTCTTGGAGAGGGGTCCGGTTAGGGAGGAGCTCATTGGGGGACTCCTCCCATTCATTGTTAATGGTCTGGTGTCTAATAGTGTGGAGTATAGATGTGCTACGTATATGGTATCAGGTTTACTGGCCTCCAAGACACAACTGAGCACTAAAGTTATTAATTCATTACTGGAATCAATTATTAACGTGAGCCATAATTAATGATTTTTTATTATTAATTATTATTCATCTCGATAGCAAGTTGCAATGTTATAAGTGCATTTATTTTTTGTTTTTATTTTATAGAATTCCATTCCTAGTTTGATTGAAGAGGCTGTACAGTGTATGCTGCTAGTTGCTTCTAGTTCAGATACATTAAGAACTCTGACTAAAAAGTATCCATTATATTGCATGTACATGTACTTGTATCATATTACATGTATACTCACAGTATTTTTTGTAATTGTATTTATGATATCATTTTCTGCATGTCCTGTTCATAGATTACATATGAACATCAAATTGTTATATGTTCATATCAAAATTTATAATAAAAGTAGAGAAATTTTTGAGCTATATTGCCTTGAGGTTTTAATAACTTTCTGATTATGCATGTACATGTACATTACACATATAATTGTAATTCCTTTTATTTCTAGGACTGTGAAAAGTATTTTATCAAAAAAGGATTCATTTCTACCAGCACTGCAGGAACTAAGCACCCATACTGACTCATCCTACCTGTTGAGACCAATATTCAGGACAATACTTCCATCAATTGACTTTGAGGGGGTCTGAAACTAAAGCAGAGGGTCTGGGACAGGTTTTATATGATTTATCCAGTAAGACTGCATTAGAGGCAGCGACTGTTTCATATAATTATTACAAAGTAAATTGATTATTTACATGTATTTTGCTGGTTGTATTTGATGAGAATTTGTTTGTTTTATTTTTAGGGATTTATTGGAGCAGTTCTGTACTAGTAATAAAAGTGGTAAAAAGTCAGCTGCTATGAAATATCCTTTTTTAACTGAAGTAGTACAAGCATTGACTAACAAGTGAGGACATACTACACAGACATGGGGTCAAGCACTTGGTGCTTGTACTTAAGCACAAAGAAGCACACCTTTTAAGTACTTAATGCTGCTTACAAGTACCTTTTCAATATAATCTGTGTGCTTTGTACTTGTACTTAATTACTTTTACAAATTTACAAAAGTACTTTTAAGCACAGCAAAAATTGTACATGGATAGTGTACATGTATAGTGGTTACACAGTCCAATAAATTGTAGTAACAGCAATACCATATACTGGGATATTTTCGCGTCGCTAAATTTTCGCGAATTTTGCATCTGTAAGATTTCACGAAATAATATTTTCACGAATAGCCTATAAACTCCACCACGTGGCAATGGAAATTTAGAATTTTGCGATTTTTATTTTCGCGACAGAGCAAAAAACGCGAAATTCACGAAAATTTTGCTACTCGAAAATTTCCCAGTATACAGTATACAAGTTTAGTAGCACATTGTGTGATTGTGTGCTAGCTTGAAGAACAGTAATGGCATCACCATTAGTGGTATCATCACCAATCACTCCAAAGCTCCTACTGTTTTCATTTATTATGAACAATTCACAGAGTTAATGTATACTAGATGCAATAGTAAATTAAATGACTAAGTGCATGTACATGTACAATAAACAACTATAATTGTAATTTCACTATAATTGTTACACTTAATGAATATCTAGTATACTTATTAATGTATTTAAGCACTCTGGAGAATGCTTGTTCTTGTACTCAAGCACTTATGGTGAAGCTAGGGATTGTGCTTGTGCTGGTACTTCTAACACATTTAAGTGCTTGTGTTTGTGTTTAAGTACATTTCATAGTGCTTTGCCCCATGTCTGATACTACATGTATCCAGACGCTCATATATACATTTTTATGTAAATTGACATCCTTATGCTATGTAGAAAGTTTAAGATGATTCCAACTTAAATTTTTTGAGTTATAGACCATCAAAAATAGGCCAATTTTTGAAAAAATCCCTGTACTATTATAGCTAAAAAATCGCTAAAAAATGACCCCCAATTTTATTACATTTTCTGATGCATATTGATGTAGTTATGTTGTGTAGAAAGTTTGAGTTAATTCTGACTTCAATTTTTCGAGTTATAGCCATTTTAAAAAATATGCCAATTTCTGAAAACGTCCCTGTACTATATATAATATAGCCCATGGTTTTTTCCAAAAAATGGCTAAAAAATGATCCCCAATTTTTATTACATTTTCTGATACATGTTGATGTAGTTATGTTGTGTAGAAAGTTTGAGTCAATTTCGACTTCATTTTTTTTAGTTATGCCATTTTTTAAAATGTGCCAATTTCTGAAAAATTCTCTGTACTATAGCCCATGCTATGTATTTATATGTATTACTTAACAGTATCTTGTACATGTATATGTACATGTACATGTACATACATTGTACGTTAAATACATTTTAAGTTTGTATTCTCTTATTCATCTTCCTTTTATACCTCATCAGTTATCCTTGAACAATGATGTCCTTAATTTCTATCATCACGACACTTCTGTACGACTATCGGCCGTCAAATCT